TTTTTTTCATGATTTCCTTTGTTTTTAGAGTGACATGATTACTCGAAATTATATGGATGCTTGAGGGACGCATTTGTCCTTGAAGCCTGTGGGAGGGGGAACAACCACGACCTTGTTTTGCTCTCTGTATCGGGCTGCTCCGGGCAATGTTACTTTAAGTGCAACTTTTTGGAAGCGTGCAACCGAATTCTTAAATTTTTTTTTTTTAAGTCAATGAAAGTTTGTCACCGGTGACGTGCATGAAATGAGTTGGCAGAAGCTGTCAAACTGTCATGACTGGAGAGACAAACTTCCTGAACTGAAGACGTGAGTTAAAAGCAGTGGTGGGAAGTGACGAGTACAAAGCTTAGATTTTTCAAGTATATGTACTGCACTTGAACATTTATTTTTCTGAAGCCTCCTGACACTTGAATACATGTACAATAGTGCCTTGGTTTACGAGCGACCGAACGTAAGCACATTTTTTGGGGGTGGGTTTTGTCCAAAAAGTGAGTTCCCCATCCAAAGAGCGTCACGCCGCGCACACGTTCGCTCACACAAAAGAGGAGAATCCCGTCACGGGCGTGCGCGAGCCGGGCGGGTTGGTGTTTGGGTTGGCGTGGGCGAGCGCCGGCTGTCCCGTGGGGGTGTAGACGCCGCCCGCATTGTGTTGGGTGACCACGGTTTGGTAGTACGGCTCCGAGTCGGCGGCGGCGGCGCACTCCTCGTAGCTGAAGGGCGAGCCGAGCGGTTTGAGGCCTTTGGGTTGCCGCTTCCACGAGTTGTAGTAGGTGGGGTCGCTCATGTAGTGGTTGACGAAGGAGTGCTTGGGCTGCTCGTCCTCGTAGTCGCTGTCTGTCATCTGGACGCACGAGGAGTAGACAGAGGCAATGTGATTTTTAACAATCATCATTGGTGTGCTTTAAGGAGACTTAAACATGAGCTACCTCTGACTCAGAGACTTCGGTGGGTTTTTCAGTGAGCGTGGTGCTCTCCGTCAGGACCGCTCCGTTGTAGTTGTTGCAGATGTCCTCGTCCGAGTAGTGAAGACCGCCCGGACTCGGTCTGGGAGGTGACCTAGAACCAGAACGTGAGAAGCTTGGCATAGGGGCCCAACGGCGAGTGGATATGCGTTGTGTGTGTGTTTGCGCGTGTGATCGAGTTCGACGTGGCACCTGGTCCCGTTCTTTTTCAGGAAAGTGTTTTTGGTGTTGGTGAGCGCTCTGCTGTTGAGCTCCAGTGTGGTGAAGCCTCCGTTGTCCAGAGTGACCGACTCCTCCACCGAAGACATGTGTTTGCCTGAAGGACGACAAGAGGGAGAACAGATGGAACAACCTTTCAATAAAACGGAGCATCTTCACTCATTATGTTCGCACTGCACTTAGGTCGTTTCGCTTTGCGCGGTCTGAATTCACGTGCGTTTTCGTCACGGGTTGAAAGACGGACCTTGAAAAAGCTAAAGATCCAGTGTGCATTCCATTGGGAATCAAATGTAAAAAAGGTAAGGCCAACTAATACTTGTGTGTTATTTGAAGGAAACTAGTCTACTATTTATACAGTAGACTAGTCTCCTTCAAACTTGATACATGAACACATCTAGTATTGCTATAGCCTGTAACACAAATTTATTTGGTGTAAGGAACTGATAAGAGAGAGGGAGTGGGAGTTTTTTTGTCGACGGGATCTCTCCACGGAGAACTGGATTCCGCAAACAACCCTCTAACTACTTAATGTCACATTTGCAAATAGGCCCGAAAGAGTGAGCTGGGAGCGATGATAATAAGGCTTTAACTTCAGGCACTTGATTATGCAGTGATAATAATGTACTGTGCACCTCCTCGGATTCACCCTCGAGTCGACTTGCCAGTTTTCTTTTTATTAGAAAGCAAATATAGTACTCTCGCTGAAATACTTTTAAGCCTTAATTAAAAAGCTATTGCCAGTTTCTGCCTGCAGCTTTATTCAGAATAGCTCACAAAGAATATACACCGGTGTGTGTGTGTGTGTGTGTGTGTGTGTGTGTGTGTGTGTGTGTGTGTGTTTATACCATATTTATGGTCATAGAATGTGCTATATGTTGCTCTTTCTGTCTTTACATCCCACTCAAAAAGTTGTGCCTCGCATCCCTTATCAACCTCCTTCATCCCAGCCACCCAACCAGAATTTTTTTCATGATTTCCTTTGTTTTTAGAGTGACATGATTACTCGAAATTATATGGATGCTTGAGGGACGCATTTGTCCTTGAAGCCTGTGGGAGGGGGAACAACCACGACCTTGTTTTGCTCTCTGTATCGGGCTGCTCCGGGCAATGTTACTTTAAGTGCAACTTTTTGGAAGCGTGCAACCGAATTCTTAAATTTTTTTTTTTTAAGTCAATGAAAGTTTGTCACCGGTGACGTGCATGAAATGAGTTGGCAGAAGCTGTCAAACTGTCATGACTGGAGAGACAAACTTCCTGAACTGAAGACGTGAGTTAAAAGCAGTGGTGGGAAGTGACGAGTACAAAGCTTAGATTTTTCAAGTATATGTACTGCACTTGAACATTTATTTTTCTGAAGCCTCCTGACACTTGAATACATGTACAATAGTGCCTTGGTTTACGAGCGACCGAACGTAAGCACATTTTTTGGGGGTGGGGAGATATGAGAAGTTCCGCGGCCATTTTTTTTTTTTGCTTTGATTTGCGAGCAAAAATTCAGGCACTAGATATTGAGAGCAAACTCGACGGAAGCAGAAATTTGACAGGAAACAATTCAAAGAAATGTATGATTATTATTATTATTATTATTATTACATAAAAAAAAAGAGGCTTCAAGCTGTTAATTGCCAGGCTACTGTCAAAGTAAACATACAACAAAGAGAATTACACATCGTGTTCTAAAAACAACTGCACAACTTCGTCTTTGAGGAATGTGTGTTCGCTTAATGCTAAAGCGCAATGCAAAGCACCGTCGATGGGATAACAAAACTGTCGTCGCGGGTTGTTGCGTTTCAACATTTTGAAGCGTGGGATATTTGAAGTCCAACAATGTAAGCAACACATGAACAAAGGTAATATAACAATACTAACAGGCAGGTATTCTTTATCCTCAGCAAAAAACAAACATTATCGATTATTTTTTTTTTTTTCTTTTTTAAGTAAGTACAGATACTTGAGTACTTTTGCCACTTCTGGTTCAAACTGATGTTACCTGTGCCACAGGCCTTGTACTTGCTGCTGTGTCCATGCAGCAGCAGGGTGAAGACGAGAATGAGAATGAGGATGAGGCCCACCAGCGCCATGACCAGCAGAAACCACCACTCCTCGTAGAACGGACGCTCGGACAAGGCTGGAGATGCAAAATGGAGACGGTATGTTTTTACCGCAATGCCGTTTCCAAGCAGACTATTGACATGATTGCCACGAGAAACCGCAAAATTAAGAAAACGTTATTCCGCCCACATACGATACCCGCGACCAGGATGCGTCATCTTTTCTTTTTCTAGAGTACCGTTGGGTGGTGCGGCTTGTCAGTTTCACCCATGGGTGTCTGCACTTTTCAGTTCATTGGGCAAATGAGAGGAAGTCGGGCAAAAAAAAAATCCCAAACAAACAAACAAACAAACAAAAAAAAAGACCAAATATGTAATGATAATGTTTCTAAATGACTACAGTTGTGATGTTGTAGATTGAAAAGTAGGTTGCAGAAAAGTTGCATTTTATTGTGCAAGGCATTACATAAAAAGTACTCAAGAGAGTGATGAGAAACCAATTTTGGTGTGGACAATTTATTTTCTTTTTGACGTTTATTGATTTTTATCATTGTGTGTGCGCGCATGTGTGTGTGTGTGTGTGTGTGTGTGTGTGTTTACCAGCGAGTGCTGCAGAGGGCGTGCTGGGGTGTCCGAAGCCAAAGCGGTTGACGGCGATGACTCGGAACTCGTAGCTGATCCCGGGTCGCAGGCGCTCCAGCGGCACCGACACGGACCTCGTGCTGGGAGACAGCAGTCGGATGAACGAGTCCCACACGCCCTCGTCTAGCGAAGAGAAACAGAGAAGGATGTCGTGTCAACAGAGAAAAAAAAAAATCCCTTTGTGGAAATGAAGAGCGCAACCGTTCTCATAATACCGTAAGCGTGTTCTCATTCAATTACAATTTTGATTCTAATATTTCGACTTTAGTGTAATTCTTTCTTGTAGTATTGGGACTTAAAAAAAAAAAAGATTTCTTTGTTGTATTATTATAAATTCTTTCTCAAAAACTTATTTTGACTTTAAACTTGTTGTCGGCATATTATGAATTTGTTCTAGAAATATTTTGACATTACTTTAATATAAATTTACTCTGCAATGTTCAAACTTTATTCTTTTTTGTAAAGCTGATTTGGTTTACAATTATTACTATTTTCAAGACATTTTGCTTATTAAAGTTTTTTCATAATTTTCCGATATAGTTCTCAAGAAAAATGAACAATAAATCTCAATTCTGGTTCTATTACACTGGGGAAAAATTTGACCAAAAAATCTCTTGGAGTTAGATTTCGATGCTGATTTAAAAAAAAAAAAATGACATGCAGATTCCAAAATGTAAACTTAAAACCATTGGCAGACTGTTGTAAAGTTCTATTCCTATTTATTTTTTTAGGCCTGTACCTACTCCATCTTTGGGTTTTATTTACAAAACACACATTTGTTGTCATATACCGTATATATTTTTTAAGAAAACGGGTCATATAGCTGAAAAACTTTCTGGAATCTGTCAGACCTGACTCGACAAAAATTATGCTCCTCAGTTTTCTATTGTATCAAAACTTTGTTCATTTAATTCTTCTGATACCACGACTTCATTCTCAGAAAATTACAACTTGTATATTCATATTAAGATTTAATGGTAGTTTTAATCTGGTATTGTTTAAATTTGCCATTTCTCTGATCACAATGCTGACCTGCAATCTCCAAACATTGGATGTTTTTGCACACTTTTGAAACTGTGAAAAATGGAGAAACGTGCAGCTTGCGTCGATCAATTCATGGACGTGTACAATTTCTACAAAATTGGCCAGCGCTCTCGTGAGCAGCGCTGGAGCTGTAAAAGTAATGATGTTGATTCACTTTACAATTCCAGTCGGGATCCCCATAATGGTCTCGAATTTACCACCTCCATTGAATCATTTGCCGCCCATGATCACGCTTCCGATAGATCAGCTCATTACGAGCGAGCTCGTGGCTGAGCCGATTAACTCGGCGGGCGTCAACGACCTGGGATGCACAGAGCTGTTAAAAAAGACGAAAAGGTCAGCGTGTCACCTGAGGGACGAGACTCGATCACGTAGCCGCTGATGGGCGCCGCCCCGCTGTCGCCCTCTGCCCAGTGAATGGTGAGGGCGGAGGATGCTTTGGTGATAGAGATCTCCGTGGGCGACCCCGGTGCGCCTGCATGGTCGATTGGAGACACATACATATGCATTGGATTCCTGTTTTTATTTTTTATTGTATTTTTTTTGGGGGGGGGGGCACATGAACCAAATAGAAGGCTGGGGCTGGGTAGTTACCGAATTTTCCACACTATAAGGCGCACCTAAAGGCATTCGATTTTCTCAAAAGCCTTATATATGGATCAATATTCTTATTTCTTGGACGTAGTCTTTTAAATGTTCTGTAAAGTGCTGTGTTACAGCTGAAGCGGTGGTTTATATTGTATTCCCTAAAGCGTAGCTCCATCTAGTGGATGCATAACGCAACCTCAGCCACGATTGTAGCTTCTATTCTATGCACCTTATAATGCGGTGTACCCTATATATGAAAACAGTTTTAAAATGGGCCATTCTTTGAAGGTGCGCCTTATACTCCGAAGTGCCTTATAGTGTGGAAAATACATTAATAAATTTTAACGATTCCACTGCCCCCCATCCTTTGCACCCACACCATATTGCTTTTTAGTGATAAGACTCACATTTTAATTTAATATTGCCAACGTCTGCTGCTGGTTTATTTAGCATCAATCAATCAATCAATTCATTCAAATTCAACCCCTGCCACATATATATATATATATATATATAAAATCAGAGCTCGGGGGCCGGCATGCAAAATCCCCATTCCCTAATTATGTTGACGGCAACGAACGAGTTCCGGTTGGATGTGAAACTTCCGCTTCTCACGACGAAAAAGCTTGCTTCTTTAGCATGCAGATGCTAAATTGATGTTAAAGTTGGTGCCTGTAACGCACCAAAAATATTTGCCAACTGCCAAAATAAGGTAGAAGTTATAGCGAGATGTTTTTTTTTCTTCTTCCTGATGCTTTTTTTTTAACCGGTGCGACAAAAATACGGTAATTACTTTAAAATAGCCATTATTAGTAAATATAATATGGCATATTTTAATTTGATTATTCTTTAAAAAATATCCTGATTACAATGGCTCAAGAGAAATTTAATCATTGATGATCATTTGATAAGCAACACAGCATACACAAACACACAGCATGAAGAGACACACACACCGACGCTCGCTAACCTTGGACCGGCTCTGCAGTAAGGTTTGCACTAATTGGGGGTCCGTAGCTGACGGTGAGAGCTTGGACTCTGAACAAGTACGTGGCTCCTTTCAGCAGATCCCGAACCTTCAGCCATCGCTGCCAGCTGCCCTTCACGTCCACCGTCACCACTTTGCTGACGCCTGCTCACACACAGCGGTGACACGCGCGTGACGTTTGTGTTATGCCGCATTTGTGTGTTTCCGGCATGTACGCGTGTACCTTGCACCGGAGCAGTGGGCTGGTAGATGACCCGGTAGCCCTCCAGCAGGCCATTGGGAGCTAAAGGAGCCCCCCAGGAGACATTGACGCTTCCTCCCGTCACCTCGGAGAAGGAGAGGTAGCTGGGCTGACTCGGGGCTGCAAGATTACATCATCGTATCAAAAACAGCGTACAAAGTAGAATTGGGAAAATAGAACGTTTTCTTGATATTTCTTTTCCTTGTTATATTAGAAGAAAACCAAAACTATAAAAACCAATCAGTGGTGCGTACCCGACTGCAGGGTCTGTGCACCGCGAGGGTCGCTGGGCGGTCCGTCCCCGGCCGTGTTGAAGGCGGTGAGAGTGACCAGGTAAGGCGTGTAACTGCTCAGGTTGCTCAGGTGCATGCGGGTATCCGGTACAAAAATCACCTTCACCTTCTCCGTCTGGTTCTGTTTGTTCTTCTGCCAGTAGTGCACCTGCCACATGAGAGGACCTTTTGCCTGACTCTTCCACAGCCCATTTGTTGCCCCCCCCCACCCTCTTCCTCACTCATTGTTGCCGCTCTTGACAACAGTGTGCACTGTTTACTTTCTCTGCTCCTCGATGGACCCTCTTTAATTCTGATGATGTAAAACGTTGACAATGTTGCTTAACTTGTAAAATGTTGACAATGCTGCTTAAAATAACTCACAAGAGGAGGATGGTGCTGCCGACACGACAGAACACTCGAGGACAGGCTAAAGCGAATCCCTGACATGGTGCGGTTCGTTCATCATGCGGGCCGCTGTTATATTGCAGCTTTTGAACCGTTTTTTCATGGGTTTTTACATGGCCGTATACAGGCAAGTCCAAATTTAGAGTCGCTCATCTTAAGTGTCGGTTTTTTTGTGTGCAGCAAGCATGCGTGGTAGCACGGAGGTCTAATGGAACAGAAGCAGAATAATTTAGAGCCAGAAGAAGAGGCAGAAAAAGTACCAAATACCCAGTTGATTCATTTTGCAAGCCCCCCCCCCCATGAAAAACTGAAACGCTTGCCGAGGGCCAAGTCAATATGCAAACCTCAACGTTGTCTAGTCTATATTATTTTTGACGTAGTTGGAAAAAGCCCATTGGGATAGTTTCAATCATTCTCTATGTCACAGGTGTCAAACTCAAGGCCTGGGGGCCAGATCCAGCCCGCTAGCTCATTTTATGTGGCCCGCAAAAGCAAATCATGTGTGTCAACTTGCTAAAATCTATAGCGAAATGTCAAATGGTCATGTGTAAAAAATAATGTTAAGATTTAGCACTCATTTTGTTACCCTGTTTACACTCGAATAATAATTGAACAAACCATGATATTATATTTGTTGTGTACAAGGAATAATTCTGTGGTTTCACTGTCATAACGGCCCTCCGAGGGAAGACGTAACTCCAAATTGGCCCGCGACTAAAATGAGTATGATACCCCTGCTCTATGTACGCAGACATGATATGTATCATAATTAGGAGGTACAAATTTGAAACTAAATTGTTATTAAAATAACATCCTGACTTCATTTTGTGCACCCACCGCTCACTCATACTGGCCGTTCCGAGTCAGGACTCCCAAATATAAAGATAAGTTGGAAGTGTAATATTATTGACAGCGATAATGACTTTTGCCAGTAATGAAGACAGAAAAGGCTATTTTAGGCTCAAATGAACCAATCTCTCCGATGATGGAAGACCATATGCTTCGATCCATTTTCAGGCATCGGATGCCAATGGCACCCTTAATAACCCTTTCAGGGACGGACGGCGGTTACTACAGTGGACAGCTTATCATGTTATCAGGTTACAGGTTAAATTTATGTTTCCAGACTAGAACAAATGTGAAGCGAGGACCAGATGTTTTGGAGGAAGATCCACAGTGCAGTGCTAACTTGACTTACGCGTGCTCCCAAATTCTGATGTGTTCAAGGCTTGAGCCGTCGCTTGGTTAATATTTTGCTTCGTGTCAATGAGCCTAAACGAGTGACAAGCGGGTTTCAAATATGCAACCGCTCGAGTGAAGTGGAAAAAAAAAAAAAGGAGGGCAAAGATTGCCTTTTAGCCATTTCTTGAGCGCGACAGTCAAACACGAAAATACTCACAGGCCGAAGTTAACACTCGGGCAAAACCCGTCATGCCACGCCCCTTCAAAATGGAGTTCGCGATTTTCAAAAGCTTTCGTTTGGTCGGATTGGTTCTGTCTGACCTCACGGTAGTACATTCGTTTAAAAAAAACAAAAAACGTGATAAAGTCGGTCCGGGATGCAGTGATTCAAAGATAATATACTGCACACGGTTCATGAGCAATAAGCGGCCTTTGCAATGCATCTTAACGCAGTCAAAGAGGCGTCCTCTCACCCGTAAAACTGCAAGTGCAACTTCATTCCATTGATCCGCTTTAGCAAACGCCCAACACACACCGACGGATCTCCGCCGCGTTGTTCAATAAATGAAGGTGCTAAGCGGCGGCAAATAAAGGCTCGACATGGAAAGTGCTTGGAAAGTCGTGATTCACAGTAATTGCAACAACAGTTGCCGGCTGAGCCTCGTGCATTATAAATGAATTCAAAAAAGGGAGGGGAGGGGAAAAAAAAACGAATGTAGCTTCTATTCACCAGAGCTTCGAGAGTGTGAGAATAGAGCCAAAGCGGATGTGGCAGTACATTTCACTTTGTTGCTTCACTTTTAGAGAGAGTTGTATTAAAAAAAAACAAAACAAAAAAAAAAAACAAAAAAAACACCCCCCAAATATTTTTGGTGATGTTTTAAATACAGAAAAATAGCACCGTATTTCAAAATGCAAACGTAAAAACACACAAAAAAAAACCCCAAGTGTAATTAAGCCAAAAATCAAACGTAACGTGTCGCATTCTGTGGTGTTTGGTTTTTAGCCGTGCCACATTTACCGTTTTTTTACAGACAGAAACCGCTAAGCACAAATAGTGAATATTGGTCGTGCGCGGGACAGATATACTGCTTACGCTCACGTGCACAATTCCATCCATTTTCCGATCCGCTTATCCTCACAAGGGTGGCGGGGGGGGGGGGGGGCTGGAGCCTATCCCAGCCGTCTTCGGGCAGTATGCGAACAACCATCCGCGCTCACACTCACACCGTGGGACAATTCCAGGCCGTCAAGATGAAAGCAGCTTGTTGTAAATACCTCCATATACAATTTGTTCTGAAAGTTGGACCACAGACACGTTTCCAATCACTAACCTACACAAACGCAGCGGGAAGCTCATCGTCAGAGTCGCTATTTAGATGAAAAAGCACTTCTATAAATGAAAACACGCAACTGAAATAAAAGCTGATTCAAAACAGTAGCTGTGGAGTTTGCGCGTTCTCCCCAAGCTGTTTTCTCCGGCTTCCTCCCATCTTCCAAAAAACACACACGTGAGGGTCGATGAAACTCAAAATTGACCAGAGGTGTAAAAATGAGTGATTATGGTTGTCTGCCCCGTGATTGGGCGCCAACCTCTCTCCAAAAGTCAAGCTGGGATCAGCCCCAGTTCACCTGTGAGGACAAGAGAGCTTGAAACGTGTTGTACTGCAAGATTGTTCCCAACAACCTTTGTAATAGATATCAGCGTTTGTAGTATCCTTTATTCGATAAGAACCGTGAAATGTTTACAAACGGGGGCCATCAAAGCTTCTGAATTAGTTGTACTTGAAAGGAATAGACAAATAGGAACGCAACATGATCATAAACTAGGGTTAAGGCTCGAAAAGCGAATCAAGAGTTGCCACGGTAAAATAAATCATCGATTTGTGCGCCGGCTTCTTTGTTGAAAAGCACTCCGGAGCGTGTAATTTTGGTGATTGATTTTTGCTGAGAGCCGCTATTAACTGTTGACTTCTCTATCAATGCGTCTAACAAACCCACCCGGGCGTTGCGGTTACATTGGTGGAAAAAGAAAAAAAGTCTCTTCTCCTCTTGAAAAGAAACGCTCCTCGTGTGCTACCTGCGGCCCGAGCGGCTATTAGCGCAAGTGAGAAGCTATCAATTCATGAAACGTTCATTCTTCGCTCCTATTTGGCTGCACTTAATCTGCTTAACCTCGTCGCCGCGTCCGTCCGTCTCGGACACTTTGATGCAGTCCCCCCTAATCAGGATTCTACAGCGGCCGCGTGCTTGTCTCCTTCCTTCGCTCGGCAAATATTACATTCCCGTCTTTCTTCTCCATTCCACCTCTGCTCCGCTGCAGAAATCAATGTGTCCAAAGCGGGACAGATAACCTTGTGTTTGAAGTACTGAGAGCAAAAGGGAGATTGCGGGGGGGGGGGGGGGGGGGGGGGGGGAGGGGCAAAAGCTTGTCGTGCCGAGCAGCGATAGTGAAACCATTTAAGACCATTCCTCTAACTTAATTCTCTGCTCCTCTACAGGACACTTGAAGGTGCAGCACAACCACAGCTTTGAGAAGCAATGACGTACTCTCATATTGAAATGACTGTGTGTGTGTGCTGCTTTGTGGGCACGCACACACACACACACACACACACACACACACACACACACACACACACACACACACACACGCACACGCACACGCACACGCAGTAGACGTTTGCTTTTGTGTCGCTCACCTTGTATCCTTGGATGAGTCCATTCTGGGTCTCCAGGGGGGGCGTGTCCCAGCTCACTTCCAGACTGGAGGGAGACACGGCCGACACTCGGATGGACTGGGGGGCCACCGATGGAGCTGAAAAGGGAACAAAGGGAAGTGTTACAACAGGAGTTGCCCACTTTTTTTTTTTTTTTTTGCGTTACAGGGAAGACTTTTTTTGTGAGGTGACCCCTCCTCCATCCTAATGCAAATTAACCACCACCATGTGCATTAAATCTAAATGAATGAAATGGAAAAAAAAAGTCATCATGTTACAATACAAAAATAATCATGTTTTAGAATCTTTTTCTGACATATATGAGCATAAAGTTGCATTATGTTCACGAAAAACAGGATCAAGTCTTTAAAAGGAGAAATATATTTTGTCAAGATAAAAAGTCGCAAAGTCATCTTAAAGCTATAGTTCATAACTTTTTTGGGTCATTTCTTTTTCAGAGGAGATGAACCACTGCCTCAAAATGTCATCGTTTATATTTCGTGTGGACTGATGAAATTTGCACACTGAAGCATCAGAAATGAATGAATGGCTGCAGCGCGGCCTTGTCTCCCATTTGTAAAAAGTGAACACTTATTTTTCATTTCTAAAGCAAAATTAAAAAAAAAAAAAAAACAGAAAATAATAACCTCTTCCAAAGAATCAATCTCTTTTCCCCACCAGGTATCCTTTTAACCAAAAAAAAAACAAAACAAAAAAAAAAACCAATAAATCTCGAAAGACACTCTGGGGAGGCGGAGGTTCTCATCGCTCTGTTGTTGTAATGCAAAAATCCACCCTAGGGGGCGACAGAAACTTCGCAATGCAACTTTCACATGTGAATTGTTAAAAATACTCATTTACTCTCTAAAATATGAAAAGATGAACCTTTCATTGTAAACAAAAATGACCATTTGTTGTTAAAAAAAAGGTGTATCACTGAAAGGGGGTAATTCATTTTTACGAGCTACTCTGCGCATGCATTCTCATTTGCATTTTTATGTGTTGTGTTTCTCGTTTTACAAATGGCGTTAGGGAGAATTTTATATATATATATATATATATAAAAATTAAAAAAGACGACTACATTATTTAGTGTGACAGCAGCTCCATTGTGCTCTATGGAGAGAACTTCTTAGCGCAACTGTGGCGTGGATGGGGTCCGCTTTGGCGGCCTCAGTATTGCATCTCCGCTTTTTTCGCAGATGATGCATTTTGTGTTGGCTTCAACCGGCCTTGATGACTTTCACACAGCTCTTCACAAATCACTTCGTGAGTGACAGGTGAACAGCCCATTTCGGGTCAACACTCTTGTTTTATATTGAAGCAACCACACAGAATATTTTACGGTTAATCCACACAATTATCCACAGTTTCCGTCCGGGTTCCATGGGGAGCCCTTCCAATTAGAGCGAGTGGGCCTAAGGCTGGTGTCTTGACTGCACCGTGGCCACACATGCGCAAAGCGGTTTTGCAGCTATGCACCTGGGGGTGCACACAGAAAAAAGGCCATATCACCGCATTTCACCATCACATTGCCCTCCAGCTATGTCTGCCACCCCGCCGCACGCTGCTTATCCTCCACTCATTTCTCACCCTGTGATACGTGTGGCCTTCTCGAGCCGACAAAAGTATTTGACTACTTCTACTAGTTAAGTGGTAGTTGTAGAGATAGAGGAGTAAAGCAACATACACACACACACACACACACACACACACACACACACACACACAACCTCTCCTGAATGCGAATGCGCGCCAACTAAAATCTTGGCTCGTTTTGTGAGTGTGGCGAAAGGCAAATATTGGTGGAGGCTTCAAGACGTGTGCCTTTTTTTTTTTTTTTCCCACACCACATGAGGTTAGCCGACTGGTCTATTTGTCATTCAAACAGTGGCTCACAGCCTTCTCGCCATGTAACATTTACGGCTCGGGTGCAGCCGGCTCCTTTGCCAAACAACCGAATGGCTCCATCATTTCATCAGAAAGAACATTCTGGACTTTCATTTATTTATTGCCAGCTGACAATAAGGAAAGGAGCAGATCAGTCATTCATTTTTATATTCATAACAATGTTGGTACAATAATCAAAACAAAAGTGGCTGCTCCTACAGGTTGGGACAAAAGTGGTGAGACTGCACAGAGTATGACTAATTTTAGAAATTTGAAGATGACTACTATTCACAAGGGGAATGGTGGAGTAAGTAACGACAATCTTACTGTGATTACCATTGTAGATAATCATCATACAGTATAGTAAAAAAAAAAAAGACCTGAAGTTTGTCAAGAACTAGCCAAGGAGGCTGACATCATCTTCATTAAAACTTATTTCAGTGCAGGGGTGTTGGTAGTGTAGTGGTTCACCTTGTCAAGGTGTTGGAATGTATTACATTTCCACTGAAACCAAGTACTACATAGTTTAAAACTTAAAAAAAAAACAACACCCCCCCCAAAAAAAACAGAAAGACGCTAGAAAAAAAAAAACAAAAAACGGGATGGGATTAAAAAAAAAAAAAAAAAAAGCTAATGCAGAATACATACAACAAACTATTTTTAAATGGTCCTGAAACGGCTGAACTTTACACTGGCAAAGGTTTGACAGTTTAAATCTTGAGCGCATGAATTCCATCCCCATGATTAATTCATTCATTCTTCATGTCAACAAATGGAAGGCCAAAAGAGCCTCATGGGGCGGATTCAACCAACAGCAGTCCCAACTGTTCATCCCGACACATTACAAAGCTGAAAGAAAGACAACCTGCCGAAGACGCTGCCACTGAGCCTCTGTATTTGAGTCAGTGAGTCTCTGTAGTTTCATATTTGTACAAGTGGGCCGATTAAAAAAAAAAAAAAAAAAAAAGACTAAAACTTTAAAACGGGCCTTGAGCAAGAAGAGCCAAAAAGCTCCAGTTTCCGTGACGGATCAAGATTCTTAGAAGTTTACTGCTGATGAAGAATTCTAAAAGGAGCTTCTAAGGAGAGCGCTGAAGCGAGGACGGTACGGAAATGATGCAACACAAGCAATAGTCTTAGGATTCCGACTAAATGTTGCAGCAAAAGTGAAACCCAACAAAGCCCGTAGCGGACAGAGGCTAACGAAAACACTTTGATCAAGGAGAGCCGCTGCCTCACCGAGCGTCAGAAAGAGGATTTGCCAGAATAAAAACTGGTCGTTTTTCACTTGCCTGCCTCTCCGACGGACACCTCGACGGGTTCAGAGGGAGGACTCTCGCCCACGATGTTGTAGCTGGTCATGGCGATTTGGTAGCGCTTAAACTTCTTCAATTCTGGAAATGGAACACCAAATAATAACCCTGCCTGAATGTTAGAATTTTTTATTTTATTTTTATTTTTGGTGGCTTTCGACAATTCAGAAAAAACAGAGCCAACTTGTCCATTCGGCAAGTGCTAAGGGCGCCGCCATGGATTCCAGGTGGCGCCGCAAAGTAGGGAGAAGAAAAAAAAGTATCTTCACAACAATTATACTGAATCTAGTCAAGACTATTAAGTCTCAAAATGAAAACGCAAACAAAATGTACGTTAATTTAGTTCACAGAATATGACTACAAATGATCAAATGACTTCCCCCTAGGACCCAATCAAAACAGATTGTTTTTTTTAGAATGATGTCGAATTCAATATTTGGCAGAGCAAAATTCCGATAACTGATTGATAATCAATTAAAGACAAATAAACTTTTCTGGGCGCTTAACTTTACAATTGTTTGTAATTTCATTCAAATTCTGCACAGTGTGTGGCGTTTGGACTCCTTTTCGATAATGCCAGCCAGAAGAGAAGCGCTTTGCAATTGTTGTGCTTCGCTCGGCAGAGGGCAGCAACCATACCACGCCATCATTCCAGAATGCATTGCGCACGTGAAAGCATGGCGGCCCATATGTAAATAAACTGTCTACAAAGTGTATTAAAACAGAGACACTTTAAAAAAACATTGCTGATATTGAAATCCAATAGGGTAATTCTCGGTGTTCATCAAGTCAGAGACTGTCATGATCAAGCGATATGACTTACGCGTCAACTCGAACTCTGCCACTGAGGAGCTGCTGACTGTCTTGAAGGGGCTCTTGGCTGCGAGGAGAAAGATAAATGAACGCGAACATTGATAAATGGCTTCAGTAATTATTTACATTTATCATCAACAACAACAAGGCTGCCATGGAGAGGCAGACATTTGATAGCTTTTAATTTTGAAGCAATGAAGGATTTTCTACCTGGTATTTATTGCTTCAATTCATTCATTCTCCTTAAAAGTGGCTGAGTAAAATAGATTTTTTTAAATGTGTATTTGTTTTGGATTCATTTATCTCTATTTTTGGGAACCTATGCTACATTATTAGGTTAAAAGCTACTCAATGTTTTGTCTTTGTATAAAGGAAGTATGTTGAAGTAAGTTGAGGAGTTTCATTTAGACATAAGTACTGTTCTACCTTCTTGTGGCACCTGTACGCAACTACAAATTACAATTTAGGGGAAGGTGTCAATTGATTGCAGTTTTTTCGCAAGTCAGGGCTCCGTCCCGTTGCCCCTCAAATTCACTGTTTCTCAATTAGTAATGAAATGCCCCAGTCCTTTTTAAAAAAATTAAACGTAATCCCCTGAGCACTAAAGTTCACCCCCTCTGGTCTACATTTTCTTTCACACCGAAGCATCTATTGGCCATTGCAAATGTTTATTTCATGTATGTAAAACGTGCTTGTGGCAGAAAAATGTCCCCACAATGTGGCGAGTATGTTTATGAATTATTTGCCATACAGTCATGATGCAAATGTTATGTTATGTTGCATGTTTAATAGGGACCAAACAACACAATAAGACCACTGCGCAATTAAATGGCAAGGCGCCACCTCCTCATGAACTGAACTTATATTTATTATTATTTTTTTATGAAGATGTGTGCGTGTGGCGACATACTTGTAATGTGGCTGTCTGTGGCGCTTTTGCTTCCCTGGACCCCATCAGCAGAGAAAGACGAGTTGAACGGCAGCTCTCGGTAATACAGCCGGTAGCCCGTCAGCAACCCGTTGATGCGTTCGGCGCTTGGCCCCTGGGGAAACACGCAAATGAAATCAGTCATTTATTTCCGAACACGTAAATTCTGGCGTTTCATCTTCCAGGAGTGCTGACTGACAGAAAAAAAAGAGACAACTTTTAAAGGGCGCAGAGCTGGAAGTGGGTAGTAAAAGATGATGAAATCGCTGGCGACTTTGTTTTCACAGCCTTCTGCTTTTGCCATTAAGCCACAAGGAGAAAACACTACACACTGTGTTGAAACACCTCGGACTGCCCGTCTGCCCCTTCTACCGGCTCGTCCATCCCTTTCAATTGTCACTTCGGTCTGGCGTTGCTGAATAATGTATTAAACGCAAACACACATTCAGCGGGGCTTTTATCACCCTGGTGAATTATTAACATGTATTTGGACTGCACTTCGAATGTGTGAATGTCTGAAGCATGTCAGGGGAGCAGAAAATGGTCAGTTACGGTAATGGGCAGTTAGCATAAATGGCTGCAACATGTGATTAGATAACGTCTCGGTGGAGCATCAGGGCCATATATTCTTTGCAGTCCCTGTTCCAAATACACACGAGGACAAAGAGGCCTCCGTTAATGAAAGAAAGTGGTGACAGAAATAACTAATCTGTTGAAATATTTTAAAAAATATTGAAAATACATTCAATTGTGGCTCAACAGAATTATTCAAATAAAAACAGGCGTAGACAAAAACGATGGTACCCCCTTGAGAAAAGACTGAATACAATTTGACCGTAGGGACATCTTCGAAACAGCGTCACCTGTCTTCAAATTTGTAACCAGTCAGTCAGTCGGTCTACTTAAAGGACAAGAGTCAACTGTGCTGTTTGGTGACATGGTGTGTATTACACTTAACGTGGACTGGAGGAAGCCAAGGAGAGAGTTGTCTCCGAAAAAGAAAATTAAAGACAAGCACGTTAAAGGTAAAGGCAAAAAGACTGTGACTACTGTTGCACACAATATTCAGATATTTAAGTTCATAAACGTAATCTTTTGACGTGCGCCGTATCAAATTGAATCAAATCAGAATCCCGCTGAATTCAACCGAATGAAATCGTTCCACTTTCAAATGTCCTTAAATCGTATTGCATCCCACGTATCGAGATAGCTAACATATCGCCTTTTTTTGGAGAGACGCACACTATTAAACACCGTGCAGAACTAAAGTCTGCTAGCTTAAATGTGAAATGTTAATGTGCTACGTCAGCCAGAAGCATCCAAACAAAGCATTCAACAATATTCTCAGGTATAAAAAAGACTGCAGACTTGCATGTTTGTGGCCATGAGGTGACTCAGGTTTAGTGTGAGAGCAACTACCATGTCACTCAGGAAGACTTTGTATATCGCATTCCACATGCTTGCCCTATGCGAGATCTCCTCTTGTAAAAAAAAAAACGACTACAAATATTGAGTTTTTATTAGCGTAATAAAGAAAATATTGCCGCCGCATTTACCTTCCACCGAACGAGGACGGAGGTCGTCGTCGATGGTTTGACTGAGAGGATTTCAGGAGACTCATCAGGAACTGAAAAACAGATTAAGGGCGCTGTTAATAAATATTGACAAGCTTCATGGATTAGCATCGTAGTTCTGTGCTGTTATGTTGGTATTTTTAAGGTCACATTTTTCATATAGTTGAAGGTTTCATATAGTTGAGTTTTTGTTATCATTAGCATATTCGATGTCAGTGACTTCTAAGACATTGACTTGAACAAAATGCAATTTTGATCGTAATACTGCATTCCATTTAATTTTTTTGTATTCATATTATGATTTCATTTGCAATTAGAAATATTCAAAAATAAGAAAAAAATGGTTCCCCTCAATCTTTGTTGAATTTGGCAATAAAAAATACATTTTAAGAAGGGAATAGCATCAAATACAATAGAATGCTAATATTGTCTTGTCACCGTATGCTACAGTTGCTGTAAAACTGGGCTGCAACTATGGGTTTGTATTTCAAAAGTGAAAATTAAAAAATAGAATAGAAAAATAGAATAACGTAAAAGTGTACACAAGGGATATTCATATGTAAACTCATGGCCATCAGGCATTTTTATTTGTTGAATGGCTAAACATGGAAAGCCCCTTTACATTTAGATCATTGGATACTCTGCATGAGTACAAGTTGATACTTTTTGTAAAAATGTACAAAATTACTGACAATGGCGTTGTTATTTTATTATTTTTTTTAATATGATGGCAATTAAATGACTTTAACCCTTTGAGGGACAGAGGTCACTACAGCGGACAGCGTATTATGTTATCAGGTTACGGGTTGTCATTGGTGCATGAAAGGGTTAATATGGTAAGACTCAATTCAATACGTGATGCTCGCTGTTGTGTTTTGGGGAGCCCCCGTCACTAAGTTGAAAGGTCGACCTCTGTCTATTGCGCCACACTTCGTACGGCAACACTTTCTATTTAAACTTTGGCTCAGTCGCAGTCAAGGTAATTACAGTCACCTGCTGTAACCGCCGCTATTATCTTCCCGAAAGCACAAAAACAGGAGGATTTATTTTTTTTCCTCATTGAAACAGCTGGCGATTGATGGGGGGCACTGTTTGTGGAAATACTGTCTCTCTTAAATCCCTTTCATGGTTTGGGTGGGGAGGGGAATAAATCTGGGAAATTCTTGTCGCCTGCCATTGTCCGGCGTCTCACCATCTTGTAAGGTCGTGACCGCATCCGTCTCTTTACTGAGGACGCTGCTTCCAATGTCGTTGGTGGCCACCATTCGCAGCCTGTACGAGGTGAAGGGCTTCAATCTGCACAAACACACACACACACGCACGGGTCCTCTTTCTTTTAAAGTTCTCATTTCCCATCCACAATCTGCTCCCCCCGCAAAAATACCATGAAAGGAAAAATAAGCAAATCATTTTCTAAGAATTACCACCGGTTTTAAATTGCAATGAAAGGGTCAGGAATAATAACCGCGCACCTTCTTAACTGCTGTGCGACCACAATATCTTATCTGCATTTCCTCCTCTGTGCGAGGCGAATGCATTAACAGGCAAAGAGTAATCATCAGACTCAACTTTGAGAAGAGCCGCGCTTAGTGTCAACACAAAGAGCATGGACTCATTACACAACCCACTCTATCGCAATACACTGCAGTGCTTCATTAGTACTTATGCACTTGCAGCTGAAAATGTGCAGTAGGTTGGGGAAAAAAAAACAGAAAAAAAAAGAAGAAAAAAAAGAAGGTGCTTCTAGCAACAACGCACCGGGACAATGTTGCAGACAGTGCTTGAAATGAAATTGCCTTGAAATGTCTCTTTTCGGCCCGAAGGACTTTGGTGGGTTTTGTGTTCAGTGTTTTCTTCAGTTGCACACACAAGTTGTCACGGTGGCAAATTCCCCCCCCCCCCCCCCAAAAAAAAAAAAAAAGACAGAGTTTAGAAAAA